TATTTTACTTGTAAATGGACTTAGTTTTTCTTCCAGTTAACATTACATACAGTCTGCACTTTAAGTTTTTAAAACATTTATTAGATTGATAAACTATCCTGGATTTTTACCAAACTTGGACAGAAGCTACTTACAATCAAAAGATAGTATAGAGAGGAATATTTTTATTAATTTTTTTCCTCATTTTTGTTGAGCCTGCGATTAACAGCAAAAGTAGGCGAGACACTGGGTTCCGTGGAACCCTTACGAATTTTTAATTTTAGTTTCTTGTGTATAATTTGGAGTTTAGTATGACGTCCATTATCACTGAACTAGTATACATATTTGTTTAGGGGCCAGCTGAAGGACGCCTCCGGGTGCGGGAGTTTCTCGCTGCATTGAAGACCCATTGGTGGCCTTTGGCTGTTGTCTGCTCTATGGTCGGGTTGTTGTCTCTTTGACACATTCCCCATTTCCATTCTCAATTTTATTTTCTATAATTTTGATATAGTCCATCTCAATTGTAGTACACTACACTGTTAAAATCTTATTCAGATAGAGCAGGTTCAATTTTTAAAAATTTATTAAATTCACAAATAAACTGTGTTCTTGGGCCTAAGAGATTTACTTAGTAAGTGTAGACTTCGGCAGCTTTACTGAATATGGTTTGATGGTATCAATTTGTCAAACTGAATGAAAGTAAATGATGAACATCTGTATTTGATAGAAATTCTGTTAAATTGTTCCATATTGGCACTATATGGCCAAAATAAACCTACATAAGCCGTTTTTATTTTTGTCTAGCCTTTAAAAAGTCCAAAAAGCAGGGGTGGCAACTGCCAAGTTTGATTGAAGCGGCAGTGATGGAGGTGTCAACAGTGTATTAGTTTGTGATCAGGTCAGTTTTTGGGGAGCCACTATAGTGGTTGGTCAGTGATATTTGGTATGCTGTTAGCATTGGCACATCTTATATTTCCATGGACATTATTTGGCCCTGCCCCCTCAGTCATGGACTCATCCTCTCAGTCATGGTATATGGACTTTAAATGTTTTGCATAGGTAACATGTATTAGTTTGTGATTAGCTCAGTTTATGGAAGTGGAAGGTCAATGATATTTGGTATTCAGTTGTATATGCATTGGCACATCTCATTTCCATGAAGATTATTTGACCCTGCCCCCTCAGTCATGGTCTGTTGACTTTATAACTATTCCATTGATTTACATGTATGTGGGGCCAAATAATCTCTGTGGAAATGAAATGTGCCAATACTAATTCAACTGCATACCAAATATCATTAACCTTCCACTATTGGGTTCTCCATTAACTGACTTAATCCTAAACCTCTACATGTAAAACACCCCTTCAGTCATCGTCTATTGATTATGAATGTTTTGCATAGTTTTTACATGTTTAAGTATTGCCATTTTAACAACATTTGCCTTATTTTCTATCCCACAAGTTTTTGTGTTTTGATATATTAAACCTAGTGTAATTCAAGCTTCATTAATCATTTGTGAACTCTGAATCTAGAGAAACTAGATTATCACATAAAAAAAATGTGCAAAATGTGTTGTATTTTATATGGTCCAGTTTGATGCAAGTTAAATGTAAGGAGCTCAAATTGTAAATAAAAGCTGAAGTCCATCATAAATATTTCACTAAATCTATAAAAAAAAAAAAGCACTTTGCAATGAGAAGTGTACCTGTGTCATTTCATATATTACCTTTATTTTCTTCTGTAGGATAAAAGTGGTTCATATATATATGCCAGTTGAGACTAAAATTACATTCAAGTTTTCCACTGAAAAGTGAAAAAAAACTGCATTCAACCATACTGTCTGTAAAAAAAGTTGAATGTAAGAGTCCTATTGCATTCAGACTTATTGTATCATGACATTTTAGCATAGAAATTAGCAAAAAGTAACAAATTTCTATTTCCTATAGCTTCTGTATGTAAATATGTATTACAGCCTAAATTGACCCAAAATAATTTTCAGTCTTACATGACATGCCTAAGACTTAGGTGGTATGCTATTTGTAACTTTTCTTTCCATTTAAAGTACATCAAGTATATAGGGAAAATTTATATTATGAAAAACAAAAAAAACTTCAAAAAATTTTGAATTGATGTAAACAGTTACATTTTATATAAGGCCCCTCTTCTTTCGAAAATCTCTATTTGCAGGCACGAGCTCATATAAATTTGACTTTTAAATCATTGTAGTAAATCTGATAAATCAAATGAGTGTTCAGCATGTTCAGTTGTTTTTAATACATGCATGCTAGTTTTTGTCTCACCTGTGATGAAAGTCGTAGAATGCGAGACATAGGAATTTCTATCGGGTAGCGGTGACTGTGTAAACTATTTGTATAAAGCTTTATATTTCAGAGGGTAGAAGACCAGAATGCTTCATACCTTGCATGCAGATACATGTACCTTATGTTACGAAGTTTCCTTCTGTCATATCTTCATTGTCCTACGCCTCCTATTTTTAGTTCAGGGACTGCTTGAAATTTTTTTTTAGTTTTTTTGTCATGTGAATTTCTCACTTATTATGAGTAATGAGGATAACTATATTTGGTATAAGGATACCTTGCAATGTCTACTTGTCCTTCAGACAGGGTTCACCTGACCTCCACCTCATTTCATGGATCTTTGATAAAGGTTAAAGTTTCCAGGTCAAGTCCGTATCTCACATACTACAAGCAATAGGTCAATTATATTGGTGTATAGAATGATTGTAAGGTGTACATTTCAGACTGGCAGCTTTATTCTGACATTGATCTTTATTTCATGGTTCATTGAACAATGTTTAGTTTATGTGGTTTGGTCTATTTCTCAGAGAGTAAAGGCAAGGCAATAGGGCTACTATATTTTTTGTATGGAAGGATTGTAAGGTGCACATGTCTGTCTAGCAGATTTCATCTGACCTTGACCTCATTTTCATGGTTCATTGGTCAAAGTTAATTTTTCATGGTTTTGTTAGTTTATCTGATACAATAAGCAATAGGTCAACTATATTTAATTTATGGAATGATTTTAAGGTGTCAGTCTTGCAGGGTTCATTTGACCATTACCTCATTATTATTATGAAATTATGATAAAAAAAAATAAGCAGGTGAGACATTTCAGCGTGACAGTCTGCACTCTTGTTTATTAGTTAGAATTTGCATTCATTATTGGCCGTAAAACATTTATGGCATTTCTGTTTCAATGATATGTATTGATGTTTATGGTTGAAATAAAAGAATTATTAAAAGAGTTATCGTCTTGCAATAAGCCTGGAAACTATACAAATTAGGATTATGTGATAGTTGTATATTTTTTTAATATCATCTGTAAGTACACTGTTAGTATTATAGTTTCGTCTTTACCTTTTATGTACATCTCTTTAAAAGGTGTTTGCAGCTTTTCAAATACAAGAATACAATTCATATTATGTATGTCTCTGGTTACAGTTTCATTCTAAATGAGAGAGAATGTCCTCTTTAATTTTGCTGCATGTGGACATAATTCTGTGTTAACATTTTATCTTTACTTTGTTCCTCTCATGATTTCCAGGTTTACTGTGATATTATTATACAGAGAGTCTGCCTCACTGCGGACATGTTTGTATTAAGAGAATGTGACAGTCTCCATCACACATAAAAAAACCTTCTATAGATTTCAAAAATTAAAGTAGCTGCTACAGAAGTCTAAATTCCCCCTCTCTAATAAGCACTCCTCTTTTCCTGTTGTAGGAAAAGTTTATAAGCCCTTATTTACTTGTTCCCATATGGAATATTCATAAAATATTTGGCAACTGGATTTTGAACATCAGACACCCATCAATCTATTGATCTTTTAGTTTCGCTAATGAGAGAGTTGTGTTTCCGTTGTTGTTTAATTACTGTAAATTCAGAAATTATTGCGTGCATTTATTATTGCGATTTTGTCATTTAAGACTAAAATGCGATTTTAATTTTTGCGATATTTAGAAAAATCCTATATAATTCATATAAAAAATTTCAAAATGCGAGTTTAAATTATTGCGATTATAACCCTGTAGCAATTTTCGCAATAATAAAAACATCGCAATAATTTCTGAATTTACAGTAGTCTTGTTTGTTTGAGATGATAAGTTTATATTAGCCCCTTATTATATTTAATTCCAAACAACTATGTTTTCCCGCCATTTAAAAATTATTACTGTTTTAATGGATGTAGCATCTATAGAGATCAATTTCTAAACAATTGTATGAAAATTGGCTTATTTTCACAAAGCCTATTCACAAAGTAAACTACAATGTTACAGTTATGATAATGTAACTAAAATGACTATTTATCTTGATTGTTTTAATTCAAACGTGTTACACTCTCGATGAATTACTTAAAAATTTGAAAAGCTGCTTCATACAAACAAACTGACTTTCACCTGAACATGTAAACATGAAAAGATAGTTTCTGAAATCTGTAATACTTCAGCGTTACCACCAACACACATTGATGTAACTATCAAGAAGAGAGCGTCACAATGATACTATTGACTAAAACATACTTCAGATTCACTACATTGGTTCAGAGTACTGTCGCGTTTCAGAGTCCTACACCGATATCAAGCTATAAAAAGTTGTGAATAAATGAAACCGAGATAATCAAAGATCTGTCATCATCACCAAATTCCCTAAAGGTGTAGTCATTGCAATGGAAAGGTTTCAAACATTATTTTCAACCATTTTTTTATTTATCAAAAGTCAATGCATTTAATAAGTGATTTGGTAATAATAATTTAAACAATTTATATGAACAGTAAGATGAGGTCTTTCCATATACTGATTTGCATGTTTTGTTCAACTAGCCTCCATTTTACCCATTTGATTAACTATGTGTAAATATCTGTTATTGATTGTATTGTAATTTTTATGTGAGGCCTCAGGGAAGATTAGTTTGTTGTAACTAACTGTGTTTACCCTCTTTAAATAAAGAATTTATTATTATTATTATTTTATATGGTATTTGTTTTAAATATTTGTTAAAGCTATTCACCAAACTATGTACCAAATGGTGTCAATTCCTCTCTTAGTGAAGCATGGATGCATGGAGGAAGGCTCCAGATGTCAGCAGTCAGGAGGACATTTTGTCTATTGGTGACCTTCGACATCGGTTTGATTTTCATTATATGGGTGATATATACACAGGTATGTTTAAATTGCAGCTTCAACTCAGACAGTAATTCAAAAGTTTTTTTAATCTCACTTTTATCATCACTTGGCATTCATTGTCCATGGTAGTCTGTCGGTCATGTGTTCACTTTTATAAAAACCATCTCCTCTGAAACTACTGGAGCAATGTGGCCACAATGATTTTTAGGGTATCTAGTTTTAAAATTGAGTCCAATGATCCTGCCTGCCAACCAACATGGCCACCATTGCTCACAATAGAGCATAGGGGTTAAATACAAGTACTAGTATCTTGAATACCATTATAGATAGAGAACCTGACAGGGACAGAAATGTTCAGAATGTCAAGATCTACCTCAACTGTTTATTTTGATCAAAATTTTCAGACGACTCCTAATAGAAGTTATTGCCCTTAAATGACAATTCTAACCAATCTCATTCTTGAATTTGTATCTGTCATCTATCATCCATTTTCTTTTATTACAAAAAATCTTCTCCTCTGTGACTTAAATGGCCAATAGGAACCAAACTTGGTAACAATTATCCTTTGAGTATTTTGTGTAAAAATTATGTCTGATAATCCTGCCTTCCGAACAACATGGCTGACATGGCTAAAAGTAGAACATAGGAGTAAAATGCAAGTAATATTTTGTCTGTTGTCTTGAAACTGCTAAAATATAGAGAAAATCTGACACAATAAAAAAATGTTCAGAATGTTGAGATCTACCTACTGTCCATTTAAAAAAGTGAAATAACAAAAATACTGAACAATGAAAATTCAAACTGTAAAGTCCTTTATCAAATGGCAAAATCAAAAGCTCAAACACATCAAACAAATGGAAAACAAATGTCATATTCCTGACTTGGTACATGCATTTCCTTATGTAGAAAATGTTTGTTTGAACCTGGTTTTATAGCTAGCTAAACCTCTCACTTGTATTACAGTCGCATAGAATTCCATTATATTGACTACACTGTGTGAGCAAAACAAACAGACATAACAGGTAAAAATGTCAAAAATTGGGGCACAGCAGTCAACATTGTGTTATAATCTTAATCACTATAAAAACAAACTATGTCAACAAAGAAAAACAAAATGGCATTCAAACAAAAATGACCATAGCACAATATCACAATAGCGGGATGTATAAATACCCAAGCCATGCCAAAAGGATATTACCAAAAATGGACTAAACAGTTAAGGTTAAAATATATATAAAGACAAATAAAAAGAACACTATATCGCGTAATTAATTTAAGATGATAAACAATGTCAGCACCTAAAATCTATACTTCAAGACCATCATGTATTATTTGTGAAGTTGATATGGAATATTTATCAACAAGGTCTTGGTATCTTCCGATGAACTTCTTTTTAGAAAAAGGACGAGACATTTTAGAAAAAGGACGAGACTTTCTTTGACATAACCCTGGTTCATCAACTTTCTGCTCAGACACAGGTGAAGTTTTGTATAGTCTGAGTAGCACCTGCAAGCTCTTGAATAACGAATGAGTTGGGAAATGTATATCCCATATGCAGGTGAAGTTGGTATATATATTGCTGTTAAGGTGGGGGAAATTTAATTTCAAAATCAAAATCATTTTGTTTGCCATAGATTCTGGTACTGAGATGACCGCTTATGTCAATTTGAGATATAAGTCTTAAAATGAGGTGGAGGAAGCCATGTATTTTAAACCCAACCCTGTCAGACTACTCCTTTTAGCAGTTATTGCCTTTTAATAAATGATGATTTTGCCATAAATCATCAAAAAGGCCATAATTTGGTTCTTAAATGGTGCAATTTCAAAACCCTTACTTCTAGGCTAAACAAATTTCTTCATGAGGGTAAAGTTAAGGCTTCAAAGTCAGTAAAGGAATCAGTTCGGTAAGGGCCATATTTTGGCCCAAATATTAAGTCCATTGTTTCAAGATAAAAAATGTTTCAAATTGATGTAAATTAAGACCCATCAGAAAGTGAAATAGCACTATTTTTATACAATTTTTTTGCCCCCGCCGTAGCGGTATGGGCATTAGGTTTACCCTTGTCCGTCTGTACGTACGTACGAACGTACATCCCAAAATTGGTTTCCGTTCTCTAACTTGAGTTTGCCTCAACCAAATGTTATGAAACTTACACACAATGCTTATTACCACAAAACACTGATCAAGTTTGAATTTTGGTGGCGTCACTTTAACCGTTCTAGAGTTATGCCCCTTTATAAATGGAAAAATTGCAAAATTTTTAGTTTCAGTTCTCTAACTTAAGTTTGCCTCAACCAAATGTTATGAAACTTATATATAAATACACAATGCTTATTACCACAAAACTCAGATCAAGTTTGAATTTTGGTGGTGTCGCTGTAACTGCTCTAGAGTTATGCCCCTTTATAAATGGAAAAATAGCAAAATTTTTATTTTCTTCTAAATATCAAGTAATTTTTATTATACGACCGCAAATAAAATTTTGTGGTCGTATATTGGTATGACGTTGGCGTCGTCGTCGTTGTCCAGCGTCGTCGTCGTTGTCGGAAGACACATTGGTTTTCGCTCTCTAACTTTAGTTTAAGTGAATGGATCTCTATGAAATTTTACCATTAGGTTCAATACCACAAAAGGAAGGTGGGAATTGATTTTGGGGGGTTATGGTACCAACAGTTAAGGAATTAGGGGCCAAAAATAAGCATATTTTGTAACTTCCAGACATAACTTGTGTGTTAGTGTATTGATCTCTCTGACATTGTACCACAAGGTTCCATATCACAAAGGGAATGCTGGGATTCATTTTGGGGGTAATTGCCTCCAAATTTTAGGAATTAGGGGCCAAAAAGGGGCAAAAAACAAGCATTTTTCTAGTTTCATGACAATAACTTGTGTGTAAGTGTATGGATCTAGTGTGTAAGTGTATGGATCTCTCTGACATTGTACCACAAGGTTCCATGTCACAAAGGGAATGCTGGGATTGATTTAGGGGTAATTGCCTCCAAATTTTAGGAATTAGGGGCCAAAAAGGGGCAAAAAACAAGCATTTTTCTAGTTTCATGACAATAACTTGTGTGTAAGTGTATGGATCTTTCTGAAATTGTACTACAAGGTTCCATATCACAAAGGAAAAGCTGGAATTGAGTTTGGGGGTAATTGTCCTAAACGTTTAGGAATAAGGGGCCAAAAAGGGGCAAAAAATTAGCATTTTTCTAGTTTCCAGACAATAACTTGTGTTCAAGTGTATGGATCTCTCTGAAATTGTACTGCAAGGTACCATAGCACAGAGGGAAGACTGGGATTGATTTTGGGGGTAATTCCCTCAAAATTTTAGGAATTAGGGGCCATAAAGGGGCAAAAAAACAAGAATTTTTCTAGTTTCAGGACAATAACTTGTGTGTAAGTGTATGGATCTTTATGAAATTGTACTGCAAGGTTCCATATCACAAAGGGAAAGCTGGGTTTGAGTTTGGGGGTAATTGCCCTAAATGTTTAGGAATTTGGGGCCAAAAAGGGGCAAAAAAACAAGCATTTTTACAGTTTCCAGACAATAACTTGTTTTCAAGTGTATGGATCTCTCTGAAATTGCACTGCAAGGTACCATACCACAAAGGGAAGGCTGGGTTTGAGTTTGGGGGTGACGAACCATAAGGGGGTTCAAAAAATTGGGGGGGGATTTTTTTTTCCTTTTTTTTTTCTTTAAAATTTTCCATTTTAAGGTGGTTATTTTTTATTTATATATAAAAGCAAATAATAATGATATGGTTTGATTTCAACAAAAATTGAAATAATGGGGTTCTTTGATATGCTGAATTTAACCGTGTATTTAGATTCTTAATTTTTGGTCCCGTTTCCAAAGTGGTCTACATTAGGATCCAAAGGGTCCAAAATTAAACTTAGTTTGATTTTAACAAAAATTGAATTTTTGGGGTTCTTTGATATGCTGAATCTAACCGTATATGTATTTAGATTTTGGATATTGGACCATAATAGGTAAATTAAAATTTTTTAAGTTCTTAGACCACATTCATTCTGTGTCAGAAACCTATGTTGTGTCAAATATTTAATCACAATCCAAATTCAGAGCTGTATCAAGCTGGAATGTTGTGTCCATACTTACCCAACTGTTCAGGGTTCGACCTTATGCGGATGTATCAAGCTGCGCCCAGCGGAGCATTTTATTTTTATTAAAATTGGAGTTATCTTCCTTTGTCCATGATTATAGTTGAATCAACTACAATCAATGCTTTATACAATGCAATGTTTAATTTTGACTTCCACTGATAAAACACAGATCAAGTTGAATTTAGGTAGTGTCACTTTAACCATTATTGAGTTATGCCCCTTTATAAATTGAAAGATTGCAAAATTTTTAGTTTCCATTCTGTAACTTAAGTTTGCCCCCAACCAAACATTATGAAACCTATACACAATATTCATTACAACAAAACTAAGATCAAGTACAAATTTTTTGTTTCCGTTTTCTAACTTTAGTTTGCCTCAATTAAATGTTATGAAACTTATACACAATGCTTATTACTACATAATACAGATTAAGTACGAAATTTGGTGGCGACACTTTTACCATTCTTGAGTTATGTCCCTTTATAAACATAAAAATTGCTGAATTTTTTGTTTCCGTTCTCTAACTTTAGTTTGTCTCAACCAAATGTTATAAAACTTATACACAACTGTTCTAGAGTTATGCGTGTTTACAAATAGAAAAATTGCTCTGTTCTCTACTTAAGTTAGCCTCAACCAAATGTTATGAGACTTACACACAATGCTTATTACCACAAAACTCAGATCAAGTTCAAATTTGGGTAGCGTCACTTTTACCATTCTTCTGTTATGTCCCTTTATAACTATATGATATGCAAGCGGGGGCATCATCTGTGTCCACATGTGGACACTATCCACATTTATCAAAAAAAAAATAGTCATGGGTCAGAAATGAATGCAGTCTTTATATATATATATATATATATATATGTATATTAAGGTTCTATCAGGTTTTAAGTGTAGACAAGTCTATGACTTGTTTGTTATTTTACAGTTATGCCAAAAATAAAATCATTAAAAAGTACCTACTATAATTTGACATTCAATGTTTTCTCGTCATCACTTGTCAACTTACATATGTACATATAACTTATACAAATTTCAATTTCAATTTATTTTGAATGTGTTATGGTTTATGTATTATAGATACAATGGCTCCGCATTTATTCTCGAAAAAGAAACCATGAGCCAGGAGGGCGAATGGTTTGTTTTTCATGAATCAACGCTTATCCATTGTGCCTCTAACTTAAACTATTGTGTTGATGTCTTTTCACAATTAAAGCCTTTTCTTAATTAGAAGGCAACGTAAGTGAGTTTAGATAACCCTGTTATCATGTTCAATGATGCATTAATAAATCAAAGTTCATAATTAATTGGTTTAAGAGAAATTCAAATATAACTTAACATGCCTGTCCTTTAATTATTATACAGATGAACATTATCCATGATTTACAAAATAATACATATTTGAACTTATTTCTTAGTATATATAATAAGTATGTTACCGAAATTTCTAGCAAGAAACCTAATTTGAGGCACATCACGATTTACTCGCATAGGAATTTGCAAATAAATAATTGTAAAGATATATTGTAAAACAGATGAAATCAAACTATATTTATAAAACAAAAATGGACAAATAAAATGTAATCTTTTTCTTTTAAAATACCTGAAATAGCCAATAATGATCCAAAAATAAATGACAAAACCCGTTATTATTACAAAAATATCCACAACAACATACAAAATAAGAAAAACAGAAAAACTAAAGAATAGGGACAACAAAGAGAAAACAGGGATTCAAACCTAAATCGACAAGTTTCTACTTCTAACTTGACTCTATAACACATTGATCTTAACCTCACAGCTACCAACTTATACTATACGATTGTTTATTATTGTTTATTATGTATATATAAAGGTACAAGCCCTGTGTGTCTGTTGTACCGATATGTATCATATATGTTCATCTATATATAAAATAGACATATAAATTGCAACCCATTGGTAGCTGAGAGGTTTTGGTCAATGTGTTGATGTCGGTCACACACAACAGATTTCAAGGAGGGTTTGATTCCCAGTGAAAGCATATAAAAATTGCAAAAGTGAAAAGGTAAGTTTTTGAATTAATTTCATTGGTGAACAGAAGTCAGTAAATTAGCCCATTCAAACTCTATGAAATTAGGCACACAAAGAAAACAATTGAATATAATTTTGTGAGTCCATTTCAGCGACAGATTTAGGAAGCGTTGATTCTAGAAAAAAAATCCACGGTAAATGAATAAGGCTAACATCATGCCAATGGTTTAAGGTTATTTAATGATTTACTGGCATACAAATAAAAAGTAATAAAATTAATTAATGGTTGTAAATTTTATTTACAGTTACTACCAACATCAGGTGTGAACAATAGATGGGACCAGTTTATAGACCAAGTACAAAAATATGACATAAAGAAATCCTTGTTTGATATAGTTGTAAGTACCAAAGTTACTCATGGCCCATTTTTGTCTCGCCTTGACGGAGTCAAAAAGCGAGACATAGGTATGCTGTTTCCGGGGTCGGCGGCATCAACATTGTATTAGTTTGTGATTAGGTCTAGTTTATTGTGAACCACTAGTGGTAGGTCAATGATATTTGGTATGCTGTTGTATTAGCATTGGCACATCTCATTTCCATATAGATTATTTGGCCCTGCCCCCTCATTCATGATCTATTGACTTTGAAATTTTTGCTTAGTTTACATGTATTAATTTGTGATTAGGTCAGTTCAAGGGGAACCACTAGTGGTAGGTCAATGATATTTGGTATGCAGTTGTATAAGCATTGGCATATCTCATTTCCATGGAGAATTTTTGGCTCTGCCTCCTCAGTCATGGTCTAGATCTATTGACCTTGAAATTTTTGCTTAGTTTAAAATTGAGAATGGAAATGGGGAATGTGTCAAAGAGACAACAACCCAACCATAGAGTAGACAACAGCCGAAGGCCACCAATGGGTCTGCAATGCAGCGAGAAACTCCCTCACCTGAAGGTGTCCTTCAGCTGGCCCCTAAACAAATATGTATACTAGTTCAGTGATAATGGACGTCATACTTAACTCCAAATTATACACAGGAAACTAAAATTAAAAATGATACAAGACTAACAAAGGCCAGAGGCTCCTGACTTGGGACAGGCACAAAAATGCGGTGGGGTTAAACATGTTTTTTGAGATCACAACCTTCCCCCTATACCTCTTGCCAATGTAGAAAAAACAAACGCACAACAGTACGTACAGTAAAACTCAGTATAAGAGAAGTCCGAGTCCGATGTCAGAATAGGAAACAAAAGAAAATAAACAAAATTACAATAATACATAAATAACAACAGACTACTAGCAGTTACTGACATGCCAGCTCCAGACCTCCATTAAACTGATTAAAAGATTATGTCTTCATCATATGAATATCAGGCACAATCCCTCCTGTTAGGGGTTTAGCATTATACCGTCATAAAATATATGAGAAGAACATAACCCGTGTCATGCCAACAACTGGTTTTAGAATAAATGTGTTTAATTCTGATGCAAAGACCCTATAAGTGAATTAATATTAAAGCCAAAATATGCAATCTTTAATGACCTGACAACAGTATCGTAACTATATCCCTTCTTAATAAGTCTGTTTAAAGGTTTTGTTAGCTTTTGAGGTGAATACTAACATTTTTGTGCTTTGTAAAGAATATTACCATAAAAGATTGGATGTGAAATACCCGAACGTATAAGATATTTGCATGTTGAATTATATTTACGAATGATGTCCTTATATCGATGATAAAATTTAGTAAATGTTTTGACTAGTTTATGATATCGAAAACCCTGGTGTGATAATTTTTCAGTAATACATAAATTTCTCTTGCTAAAATCTAATACGTTGTTACATATACGAGCGAATCTTACAAGTTGAGATATATAAACACCATAAGATGGTGACAAGGGAACGTCACCATCTAAAAATGGATAATTAACGATAGGAAATGAAAAATCATCTCTTTTATCATAAATTTTTGTATTAAGCTTCCCGTTCATGATATAGATATCAAGATCGAGGAAAGACCTAATAAGTGAATTTATTTTACATGTATTAGTTTGTGATTAGATCAGTTTAAGATGAACTGCTTATGTTAAGTCAATGATATTGGTATGCAAATTAATTGGCATTTGCATGTCTTGTTTCCATGGAGATTATATAGCCATGTACCTTCAGTCATGGTTCATTGACTTTGAATATTTGCATAACTCACATGTTAAAGTATTGCTATTTTAATTTCAACATTTGCATAATCAAAATTACAAAAAGGCGAGACATATCTCTGTGTTAACAGTTTATTTCTATTTATAACAAAACTATTTATGTACCGGTATTGTCTTTTTTTGGCGTCAAATATAGTAAAAAAGTTATAGTCCACAGTACATGTAATCATCTAGAATTATCAGGTTGATGATTCAAAATATTAATCTTATATTTGGGCCATGTTTATCTAAATTTTTGCCATCTCTTGGCATCCGTCTTCATCTGTCTGCCATCATAAACATTTTCAAAGAACTTCTCCGATGAAACTACTGAACATATTTTTCAACCAAACTTGAAGTGAATGATCCTAAGGGTACCTAGTATTATTATGTATGTGTTTTTGCGAGAACCCCCTGAGGGGTTCACGCCTATACACATGCTTTATATCGGTGAGTTTTGGTAGCTTCTATGGGCTATTCAGATATGCTCAGAAAGTTTCAAATTTTCAATCATTTATACAGATAGTTATCTATGTCTTTGAGACTATAGACTATAGAATGCAGTAAAAAAAAATCATCTTTATTTTCCAACCTATTTACCTTTTAACAGAACATATGCATTATGATGTGAATGTTTATTATCAATACTAGATAACGCAATTATACATGTTTTGAAATGGTCCCTGGTTCATTTACATTATATAGCACCCTGTTCAACCACACAACAAACTGTGAAAATGTGAATTTAAACAAATTTAAACCTTTTAATTTAAGACCAAATGTGATATTCTTCGTCCAATAGTCTAGATCTGCATGCACTACAAACTGCTCCGAGTCTGAAAAGACCAGTTTTTGTGCTTGACCAGTAAAGTCGAGCACACATTTTACTCGACTAGTCTCGACATTGTCTCGACAGTACTTAACTGTACTTAACTGTACTCGACTAGGTCTTGACTTTACTTAATTAGTCTGATTCAGTACTTGATGATCTTGCTGTAGTCTGAAATGGTCTCGACCAAGGCTCGACCAGTCTCGACCTGTCTCAACCAGTCTCGACCTGTCTTGACTAGTCTTGACTCAGTCTTAACCAGTCTCGACCTGTCTCGACTAGTCTGGACCTTCATATTTAGTCTTCACTGGTATAAATCAGCCCATCTAACTGAAATTAAATAAAGATCTTACTAAATTCCAGTTTATTTGTTAGTTTGATTCATTGCTGTGAAATGAAAGAATTTAATTAATAGGTAAAAAAAAAAAAATGATTAAATTCAGATAGGCATCTTTAATTTTTTTTATAACTTTTTCAAATCTACTTGGATTTTCATCTAACTATACAGCTACCTTGGTAATATATTAATCTTACTGAATCCCAGGTTGTTAAGAAGTTTGGTGTATTGCTGTCAAATTTAAGAAATAAATTAATCTAGGTCAAAAAAGCTAGGATTTGCAGTTCGGACAAAATAGAGATAGTACACTTTAATTTTTTTTATAACTTTTTCAAATCAACTAGGATTTTCATCAAACTATACAGCTATCTTAGTAATATATTGATCTTACTGAATCATAGGTCATTATGTAGTTTGGTGTATTGCTGTCAAATTTAAGGATTAAATTAATCTAGGTCAAAAAAGCTCGAATTTGCTGTTTGGACTATATTCTGATAGTACACTTTAATTTTTGTCGAGCCTTCGACTTTTGTCGAAAAAGCGAGACATAGCGATCCTACATTCCGTCGGCGTCGGCGGCGGCGGCATCCACAAATATTCACTCTGTGGTTAAAGTTTTTCAAATTTTAATAACTTTCTTAAACTATCCTGGATTTCTACCAAACTTGGACAGAAGCTTGTTTATGATCATAAGATTATATTCAAAAGTAAATTTTGTAAAAAAAAAATTCCATTTTTTCCGTATTTTACTTATAAATGGACTTAGTTTTTCTGCCAGTTAACATTACATTCACTCTGTGGTTAAAGTTTTTAAAATTTTAACAACTTTCTTAAACTATCCTGGATTTGTACCAAACTTGGACAGAAGCTTGTTTATGATCAAAAGCTAGTATTTAGAAGGAAATTTTGATAAAATTTTGTTCCATTTTTTCCGTATTTTACTTATAAATGGACTTAGTTTTTCTTCCAGTCAACATTACATACAGTCTGCAGTTTAAGTTTTTGTACGACCGCAAAAAAATTTTTGTGGTCGTATATTGGTATGACGTTGGCGTCGTCGTCGTCGTCGTCGTCGTCGTCCGGCGTCGTCGTCGTCCAGCGTCGTCGTCCGAATACACATTAGTTTTCGCACTCTAACTTTAGTTTAAGTGAATGGATCTTTGTGAAATTTTACCATAAGGTTCAATACCACAAAAGGAAGGTGGGGATTGATTTTGGGGGTTATGGTACCAACAGTTAAGGAATTAGGGGCCAAAAAGGGGCCAAAAATAAGCATTTTCTAGTTTCCAGACAATAACTGTGGAAAGGTGTATGGATCTCTCTGAAATTATACTACAAGTTTCCATACCACAAAGGGATGGTTAGGATTTGCTTTGGGGGAGTATGGCTCAAACCGTTTAAGAATTAGGGGCAAAAGAGGGGGAAAAACAAGGTTGTCCTGGTTAATGGACAAATACTTTAGTACAAAACATAATTTAAAGCAGTGTAAGGGAGATAAATCAAATACATCATTGAAATTATCTCCCTTACACTGCTTTTAAATTATGTATAAAGTAATGGTTAATGAACAATTAAGATAATTAAAAACAGTGTAAGGGAGGTAATCCAAATACAACGTTTTGGTTACTTCCCTTACACTGCTTTTAAATTATGTTTAAAGAAATGCATATTTATAAAGGAAGACCAGTAAAAATATCTGCAAATGTTGCATCTTTTTTTTTACCAAAAAATCCATATGAAAGATTTGACACTATATTTTGAATTCTATTATAAAATAGATTAAGTTAGCATTATGGTAAATTTAAATGGGTAATTATGGTTGCAAATTCCATTGGAAATTTGAATTGAGATTATGACCATATCTTGAGGGAAAGAATTTTTTTGGGGAAAAAAGGGGGGGGGGGGGTTAAAAAGAAATTGTGGGGGGTCAATTTTTCTCATTTCAGATTTCAGAAATTATAAAGAATTATTCTTCAAATATTATTTTTTTTTCAAATTTCAAATATTGAAAAATTTCAAGAAGTAATCTTTAATTGCACAGTATGGCGCATTAGATTTGTAAAATCTTTGACCACATTTATTTATTTGTTATGCCGAATCTAACCGTGTATTTAGATTTTTAATTTTGGGTCCAGTTTTCAAATTGGTCTACATTAAGGTCCAAAGGGTCCAAAATTAAACTTTGTTTGATTTTAACAAAAATTGAATATATGGGGTTCTTTGATATGCTGAATCTAAACATGTATTTAGGTTTTTGATTTTTGGCCCAATTTTCAAGTTGGTCCAAATTGGGGTCCAAAATTAAAATTTGTTTGATTTCAACAAAAATTGAATATATGGGGTTCTTTAATATGCTGAATCTAACCATGTATTTAGATTTTTTATTTGTGGACCCCGCTATCAAATTGGTTCATATTGAGGTCAAAAGGGTCCAAAATTAAACTTTGTTTGATTTCATCAAAAATGGAATTATTGGGGTTCTTTGATATATGCCAAATCTCACCGTGTATTTAGATTTTTAATTTTGGGTCCCGTTTTTTAAATTGGTCTACATTAAGGTCCAAAGGGTCCAAAATTAAACTTAGTTTGATTTTAACAAAAATTGAATTTTTGGGGTTCTTTGATATGCTGAATCTAAACGTGTTTAGATTTTTGATTATGGGCCCAGTTTTCAAGTTGGTCAAAGTTGGGGTCCAAAATTAAACTTTGTTTGATTTCAACAAAAAATGAATATATGGGGTTCTTTGATATGCTGAATCTAAACATGTATTTAGATTTTTGGCCCAGTTTTCAAGTTGGTCCAAATTGGGGTCCAAAATTAAACTTTGTTTGATTTCAACAAAAATTGAATATATGGGGTTCTTTAATATGCTGAATCTAACCATGTATTTAGATTTTTTATTTGTGGGCCCGCTATCAAATTGGTTCATATTGAGGTCAAAAGGGTCCAAAATTAAACTTTGTTTGATTTCATCAAAAATGGAATTATTGGGGTTCTTTGATATATGCCAAATCTAACCGTGATTTTAGATTTTTAATTTTGGGTCCCGTTTTTTAAATTGGTCTACAATAAGGTCCAAAGGGTCCAAAATTAAACTTAGTTTGATTTTAACAAAAATTGAATTCTTGGGGTACTTTGATATGCTGAATCTAAACATGTGTTTAGATTTTTGATTATGGGACCAGTTTTCAAGTTGGTCCAAGTTAGGGTCCAAAATTAAACTTTGTTTGATTTCAACAAAAATTGAATATATGGGGTTCTTTGATATGCTGAATCTAACCATGTATTTTGATTTTGGACATTGGACCATGATAGGTAAATTAAAAAAATTGAAGTTCTTGGACCACATTCTTTCTGTGTCAGAAACCTATGCTGTGTCAAATATTTAATCACAATCCAAATTCAGAGCTGTATCAAGCTTGAATGTTGTGTCCATACTTGCCCCAACTGTTCAGGGTTCGACCTCTGGGGTCGTATCAAGCTGCGCCCAGCGAAGCATTTTATTAAAACATTTATTAGATTCATAAATTATCCTGGATTTTTACCAAACTTGGACAGAAGCTACTTACAATCAAAAGATAGTATAGAGAGGAATATTTTTATTAATTTTTTTCCCTCATTTTTGTTGAGCCTGCGATTAACAGCAAAAGTAGGCAAGACACTGGGTTCCGCGGAACCCTTACAAATTTTTTTTATAACTTTTTCAAATCAACTAGGATTTTCATCAAACTATACAGCTATCTTAGTAATATATTGATCTTACTGAATCATAGGTCATTATGTAGTTTGGTGTATTGCTGTCAAATTTAAGGATTAAATTAATCTAGGTAAAAAAAGCTAGAATTTGCAGTTCGGACTATATTCAGATAGTACACTTTAAATCTTTTAATAACTTTTCCAAATCAACTAGGATTTTCATCAAACTATACAGCTACCTTGGTAATATATTGATCTCACTGAATCAAAGGTCATTATGTAGTTTGGTGTATTGCTGTCAAATTTAATCTAGGTCAAAAAAGCTTGGATTTGCAATTTTGGACAAAATTCAGATAGTACACTTTAATTTTTTTTATAACTTTTTCAAATCAACTTGGATTTTCATCAAACTATGCAGCTATATTAGTTATATATTGATCTTACCGAATCACAGGTCATTATGTAGTTTGGTGTATTGCTGTCAAATTTAAGGATTAAATTAATCTAGGTAAAAAAAGCTTGAATTTGCAGTTCGGACTATATTCAGACAGTACACTTTAATTCTTTTTATAACTTTTTCAAATCAACTTAGATTTTCATCTAACTATACAGCTACCATGGTAATATATTAATCTTACTGAATCCCAGGTTGTTAAGAAGTTTGGTGTATTGCTGTCAAATTTAAGAATTGAATTAATCTAGGTCCAAAAAGCTAGGATTTGCAGTTCAGACAAAATAGAGATAGTACACTTTAATTTTTTTTATAACTTTTTCAAATCAACTAGGATTTTCATCAAACTATACAGCTATCTTAATAATATATTGATCTTACTGAATCATAGGTCATTATGTAGTTTGGTGTATTGCTGTCAAATTTAAGGATTAAATTAATCTAGGTAAAAAAAGCTAGAATTTGCAATTCAGACTATATTCAGATAGTACACTTTAGATTATTTCAAAGCAACTTGGATTTTCATCCAATTCTATAGCTATCTTTATTATATATTATTCTTACAAAACACAGGTTATTTGGTAATTTGGTTTATTGCTGTCAAATTTGTGTTCATTCTTAATATTTAAATGCATGTTGTATTTGATGATAATACATAACATATATAAAGGTTGAGAGTGAACACGGATGCGGCCACTTTCATTTTTGACAAAAACCATCTGAAAAGTGACATATTATGGCATATTTGATAGATTTTTCATATTTAAGCTTGAATCTGAGCGTCTTTAATGATAAAATCAGTTCAAATCTGTCACATAAACTAATTGAATCGACTGAAGTAGACACTTAAGTGTTTAAAAAGTGATCAAAATCTTTCATCAGATGAACCTGAAATTTGAGGCCAAAATCGGCCCTTACCGGACCTACTCCTTTAAAGACATGGCATACAAGAACCACTTTAATATGGTTTAATTACCTCAGTACAAGTGAGTTTTACAGGTAAAAAGAAAGCCCTACTTTTCTTAAACTCGTGTATTACTTATCTAGTGAATTCAAAAAGCCCTGCTATTTAAGTTTAACAGGATGTTGCAATTTTGAGTGAATGTTATTTAGAATTTAAAACTCTCTGGTAGGTGTGATCTTTTTAATAAGTTTCCCCAAGCAGGAGGTATTGTTTTATACATCACCACTAATCAGAAGAAATATTTTAATAATTTCTTTAAAGTTTGATCCCTTTTTGATATATTCATATTATATATATAAAAAAGGGATAAAACATTTAAGAAATTATATAACTATATCATATATACTTTATCCCAAACTATAATAAAAGATATATTTCAAATATCCTAGCTTTTTTTATCTAGATTAATTAAATTCTTAAATTTGACAGCAATACACCAAACTACACAATGACCTGGGTTTCAGTAAGATCAATATATTACTAAGATAGCTGTATAGTTTGATGAAAAAACAAGTTGATTTGAAAAAGTTATAAAAAAAAATAAAGTTTACTATCTGAATTTTGTCCAAAATTGCAAATCCTTGCTTTTTTTACCTAGATTAATTTGAATCTTAAATCTAACAGCAATACACCAAACTACATAACAACCTGGGATTCAGTAAGATCAATATATTACTAAGATAGTTGTATAGTTTGATGAAAATCCAAGTTGATTTGAAAAAGTTATTAAAAGAATTAAAGTGTACTATCTGAATATAGTCCGAACTGCAAATTCTAGCTTTTTTGACCTAGATTAATTTAATCCTTAAATTTGACAGCAATACACCAAACTACATAATGACCTATGATTCAGTAAGATGAATATATTACTAAGATAGCTGTATAGTTTGATGAAAATCCTAGTTGATTTGAAAAAGTTATAAAAAAAATTAAAGTGTACTATCTGAATTTTGTACGAAATTGCAAATCCAACTTTTTTTACCTAGGTTAATTTGAATCTTAAATTTAACAGCAATACACGAAACTACATAACAACCTGGGATTCAGTAAGATCAATATATTACTAAGATAGTTGTATAGTTTGATGAAAATCCAAGTTGATTTGAAAAAGTTATTAAAAGAATTAAAGTGTACTACCTGAATATAGTCCTAACTGCAAATTCTAGCTTTTTTACCTAGATTAATTTAATTCCTAAATTTGACAGCAATACACCAAACTACATAACGACCTGTGATTCAGTAAGATCAATATATTACCAAGGTAGCTGTAAAGTTTGATGAAAATCAAAGTTGATTTGAAAAAGTTATAAAAAAAATTAAAGTGTACTGTCTGAATTTTGTCCGAACTGAAAATCCTAGCTTTTTTTACCTAGATTAATTTAAATCTTAAATTTGACAGCAGTACATCAAACTACATAATGACCTGTGATTCAGTAAGATCAATATATTACTAAGATAGCTTCATAGTTTGATGAAAATCCAAGTTGATTTGAAAAAGTTATAAAAAAAATTAAAGATGCCTATCTGAATTTAATCTTTTTTTTTACCTATTAATTAAATTCTTTCATTTCACAGCAATGAATCAAACTACCAAATAGACTGGTATTTTGTAAGATCTATATTTAATTTAGTTAGATGAGCTGATTTACACCAGTGAAGACTAAATTTGAAGGTCCAGACTAGTCTAGACAAGTCGAGACTGGTTGAGACTGAGTCGAGACAGGTGAAGACTGGTCGAGCCTTGGTCGAGACCATTTCAGACTACACCAAGATCATCAAGTACTGAATCAGACTAATTAAGTAAAGTCGAGACCTAGTCGAGTACAATTAAGTATAGTTAAGTACTGTCCAGACAATGTCGAGACTAGTCGAGTAAAATGTGTGCTCGACTTTACTGGTCGAGCACAAAAACTGGTCTTTTCAGACTCTGAGCAGTTTGTAGTGATGCTCGACCACTCCACTAATTTATCCACTTCTACTTCTGTCAACTGCTTGATAGAATTTATGAAATTTTCACAGAATCTCACATATGTGCTTTTGTACTTTTTATTCATTTTTTCATCCAAATGATTTTTGGGATTTACTTTGGCATGACATGGACTCATCAGTTGGCCTCATAAATTGCAAAAAATAGTAAAGTTCTTCTTTCCTTTCAAAATTATGTTAGTTGTATGGATGAATCAGTAGGGCAATATAATCTAGACATTTCAGTTCAGAAAAGTCAGATGTGACATCTGTATATATATATATATATGTATTTGAAAATAAGTAATTTGTTCCTGCAAAAAAAAAAACTTATTGTGAAAAAAGGTAGAGATAACATAAAACATGAAACATTTGACTGAAATATTTTTTGCAAAGAACTTCAGAAGTCTCTAGTTTGTCTTTCCACAGACCATTTTAAAGTCCCTTTTGGCATTATACAAGGTTTACATGTAGAGAATGTTACATTCTCCAAACATTAGACCTCAGATTTGCTGTCCAGAGTTTTAGCAAAATGAATGAACCATATATGTAGTTTTTGTCTCACATTGACGGAGTCAAAAAGCGAGACATAGGTATGCTGTTTCCTGTGGCGAAGGCGACGGTGACGGCGTCGGCGGCGTCAACAATGTATTAGTTTGTGATTAGGTCTAGTTCATGGTAAAACAACTAGTGGTAGGTCAATGATATTTGGTATGCAGTTGTATTAGCATTGGCACATCTCATTACCATGGAGATTATTTGGCCCCGCCCCCTCAGTCAAGGTCTATTGACTTTGAAACTTTTCATAGTTTACATGTATTTATTTGTGATTAGGTCAATTTATGGGGAACCACTAGTGGTAGGTCAATGATATTTGGTATGCAGTTGTATAAGCATTGGCATATCTCATTTCCATGGAGATTATTTGGCTCTGCCCCCTTAGTCATGGTCTATAGACTTTGAAAATTTTGCTAAGTTAACATGTATTAGTTTGTGATTAGGTCAGTTCAAGGGGAACCATTAGTGGAAGGCCAATGTTAATTGGTGTTCAGTTGTATAAGCATTAGCACATCTCATTTCCTTGGAGAATATTTGGCCACGCCCCCTCAGTCATGGTCTATTTACTTTGAAACTTTTGCTTAGTTTACATGTATTAGTTTGTGATTAGATCAGTTTAAGATGAACTGCTAATGTTAAGTCAATGATATTTGGTATGCAAATGTATTGGCATTTGCAAGTATCGTTCCCATGGAGATTATATAGCCCCACCCCTGATCATTGTTCATTGACTTTGAAACTTTTACATAGTTTACAAGTTAATGTTTGTGTTTAGGTTTGTTTAAAGGGAACGACTTATAATAAGTCAATGGTATTTGGTATGCAGTTGTATTAGCATTGGCACATTTCATTCCATGGAGATTGTTTAGCCATGTACCTTCAGTCATGGTTCATTGACTTTGAATATTTGCATAACTTACATGTTAAAGTATTGCTATTTTAATTTCAAAATTACAAAAAGGCGAGACATATCTCTGTGATAACAGTTTTATTATGTTTTAGTTTTAAGTTCCCCATGATGTTCCTGTTTTTCAGATGCTGTCAACAGTTAGACTCACCCTGTTGTTACTAGCATATGCATTATTTAGAATAAATCATTGGTGGATGATAGCAGTAAGTTATATATGGCCCATGTCTCTTTTTGATATTTATGCAATTTAAGTGTTGTATGAATCTTAAAATAAGGTAAATATAGTATACTGTCAGTATGTTGGAAATCCAGTCAAATCAATTGATATTTGCACAATATAATTGAAAACATGTCAGCAAACTTCAATAACAAAACGTTCTTTCCTGAAGAAATAATAGATACATATACAATGACTTGTTTGAGTTTTCATTTTCAGAAGCAACATTTGGGGATTAATCAATTGTAGAGGGATTTTTACAAAGGACATTAAATAGTAGATGGATGAATCAATAGGGCAATATAATCTAGACATTTCAGTTCAGAAAAGTCAGATGTGACATCTGTTTATATATATATATATATAAACAAGTCTAAAAAAGACCAAAAAAGTGAAAAAGTATATTTTAACAAAACGCATTTGAGTTTATTGTTTTCTGTTTGGTATTAAATTTTTAATTAAGATCCATTTATTACACCTTGTGATCCGTTTATTTTGCAATCGCCAATGGCAGTCAGCAGGGTTTAAGAACATTTGTTGTTCGACCTGTTAGTCAAATGCGTTTTGTTAAAATATACTTTTTCACTTTTTTTGTCTTTTGGAAAATGTTGTTTGTGCTGTATTTAGACCCCTCTAACATGAAATTTGTTTTTGCATGCACACGTATAAAAATTGCTGTTTTTATCCAACGCAATCATAGGTTTGAACGTTGTTTTCAATTTAGACTTGTTTATATATTTTTTCGTTTGGGCTTGTATTATATTTGCCTTCGGGTTTATATGATCCGTTCATCCTAATTTGACTCCTCAAAATTCGACAGTCTATCCTAAATTGAGGTAAATCACATAGCCTTCCAAATACTGTTTCGATTCCTAACATCACTGAAGAGACATTAATTGTCGAAATCCGGATATGGTGTACAAAAATCTTTGCACCTTTGTTTGCGGTATACCATCTTTGCCGCAAGTTTATTGTTTTCTGTTTGGTATTAAATTTTTAATTAAGATCCATTTATTACACCTTGTGATCCGTTTATTTGGCAATCGCCAATGGCAGTCAGCAGGGTTTGAGAACATTTGTTGTTCGACCTGTTAGTCAAATGCGTTTTGTTAAAATATACTTTTTCACTTTTTTGGTCTTTTGGAAAATGTTATATATATATATATATATATAATAAAAACTATAACACAATTTTCCATACGTTTTGGCCATTACAGCCTTCTTCATTGGAATAAATTACAACATTACATATATATATATGTGTATATGAAAATAGGAAATTTGTTCCTGAAAAAAAATAAAATTATTGTGAAAAAAGGTAGACATAACATAAAAACATCAAATATTTACTGTGACTTGACTGTAAGTGTTGCTCTCCATCTATTGCAACTTATTCAAAATTCTGACCAAATTGCAATTTGTTTTATAAAACCAAACTGTTCAACTGGTTAGAAATTTGAACAAACTGCTGTAGAAAACCACAGTCAAGTTTGTGAAAGTGCAAGGTGATAAAATAAAGCATACTTACAATCCTATAAGACTTTAATTCCACTTCAATGTTTTTATGAAAAATCAGTCTAACAGTTTGTATAGAAATTTTGTTGTTATTGTCATGCTAAAGGTGATAGGTAGTAATTAACCGGATTTTCGAAGGAAATATCGGTTATTAAAATGGTGACATACGGCGGGCGGCTGCCAAACAGCTTGTCAGCAGAATAACATGAAAACGCTTTAACAAATTTTTTTCAAATTTAAATACGTTGTTTCCTGGGACTTAATGAAGGTCTAGTTCAATTTTCAAGATATTAGTGTATCTCCTTTGTGAGTTATCGCCATTTTTAATATCCAAAAGTGGAATTTTTAAATATTTTACTCTTGTTATCTTTTTTATGACTAAGCATAATGTCTTATCTCACAACAAAATATTGGAGTGACAGATTTATTTGAAAATTATCTATTTCTAAGTGGTAATGATTATAAGCTATATTATTAGACATTTTGAAGTTAATTACATTATTAATTATTAATTAGATCTGGGTTATATCTTAGCATATAATATCATTGGAGTGACAGATTTATTTGAAAATTTTCTGTTTCCTGATAAGATCTGTAGGACTGTATATGTATAAAGTTTGAAATTTACTAGTAGGACTGTATAAATGAAATTTGAAACTTGCTGTTCATTATTAGACGTTTTGTAGATAATTAAGTCTCCCTAAACCATATATATTCTTACCCCCACCCCCTTTCAATTTGAGAATGTGCTTTTATCTTGAGATCCCCACCCTAAACCATATATATTCTTGTATGGGACAATAAAACAAATCAAATCAAATATTTGGGGAGTCCCCAGGTTCACCCCCACCCCCTACTTTTTGAAAACTTGTAAACGGTCAAGATCCCAACCCTGAAACCATATATATTCTTGTATGTGACAACAAAACAAATCAAATGAATTAAAAGGCGAGTTCCTTGGGGTCACCCCCAACCCCTCCTGTTTGAGAACTTGTAAACGGTCGAGATCCCCACCCCTAAACCATATATATTCTTGTATGGGACAATAAAACAAATCAAATGAAATATAGGGGAAGTCCATGGGGGTCACCCCCACCCCCCTTCTCTTTGAAAACTTGTAAACGGTCAAGATCCCCATCCCGAAACTATATATATTGTTGTATGGGACAATAAAACAAATCAAATGAAATAAAAGGCGAGTCCCCTGGGGTCACCCCATCCCATCGTGTTTAAGAACTTGTAAACCGTCGAGATCCCCACCCCTAAACCATATATATATTCTTGAATGGGACAATAAAACAAATCAAATGATATATAGGGGAAGTCCATGGGGGTCACCCCCACCCCCCTTCTTTTTGATAACTTGTAAACAGGCGAGATCCCCACCCCAAAACCATATGTATTCTTGAATGGGACAATAAAACAAATCGAATGAAATTGAGGGGGGTCCCCTGGGGTCACCCCCACCCCCCTTTTTTTTGAAAACTTATAAACGGTCAAAATCCCCACCCCTAAACCATATATATTCTTGAATGGGACAATAAAACAAATCAAATGATATATAGGGGAAGTCCATGGGAGTCGCCCCCACCCCCTTTCTTTTTGAAAACTTGTAAATGGTCAAGATCCACACCCTGAAACCATATATATTCTTGTGTGGGACAAGAAAACAAATCAAATGAAATATAAGGCGAGTCCCCTGGGGTCAACCCCACCCCTCCTGTTTAAGAACTTGTAAACGGTCGAGATCCCCACCCCTAAACCATATATATTCTTGTATGGGACAATAACACTTATCAAATGAAATATAGGGTAAGTCCAGGGGGGGTCACCCCCACCCCATCCTGTTTGAGAACTTGTAAACGGTCGAGATCCCCACCCCTAAACCATATATATTCTTGTATGGGACAATAACACTTATCAAATGAAATATAGGGTAAGTCAAGGGGGGGTCACCCCCACCCCCCTTCTTTTTGAATACTTGTAAATTGTCAAGATTCCCACCCAGAAACCATATATATTCTTGTAATGGGACAATATATCAAATCAAATGAAATATAGATACAGTCCACCGGGGGTAAATCCCAACCCCTTCTTTTTGAAAACTTGTAAACGGTTGAGATTCCCACCCTTAAACCATATATATTCTTGAATGGTACAATAAAACAAATCAAATGAAATTTAATGGAAATCCAATGTGGTAAACCCCACCCCCTTCTTTTTGAAAACTTGTAAATGGTTGAGATCCCCACCCCTAAACCATATATATTCTTGTATGGGACAATAAAACAAATCGATTTAAATTTAGGGGAAGTCCGCTGGGGTAACCCCCACCCCTTTTTTTTTTGAAAACTTGTAAACAGTCAAGATCCCCACCCTGAAACCATATATATTCTTGTATGTTACAATATAACAAATCAAATGAAATAAAAGTCAAGTCCCCTGGGGTCATCCCCACCTTCTTTCTGTTTAAGAACTTGTAAACGGTCGAGATACCCACCCCTAAACCATATATATTCTTGTATGGGACAATAAAACTAATCAAATGAAATATAGGGGAAGTCCATTGGGGTAACCCTTACCCCCCTTTTTTTTGATAACTTGTAAACGGTCAAGATTCCTACCCAGAAACCATATATATTCTTGTATGGGACAATATATCAAATCAAATGAAATATAGGGGAAGTCCACGGGGGTAAACCCTACCCACTTCTTTTTGAAAACTTGTAAACGGTTGAGATCCCCACCCCTAAACCATATATATTCTTATATGGAACAATAAAATAAAGCAAATTAAATTTAGGGGAAGTCCCCTGGGGTAACCCCTACTCTCCTTTTTTTTGAAAACTTGAAAACGGTCAAGATCCCCACCGCGAAACCGTATATATTCTTGTATGTTACAATAAAACAAATGAAATGAAATAAAAGGTGAGTTCCTTGGGGTCATTCCCACCTTCTTCCTGTTTAAGAACTTGTAAATGGTCGAGATCCCCGCCCCTAAACCATATATATCCTTGTATGGGACAAAAAAACAACTAATATGAAATAAAGGGCAGGTCCCCTGGGAAAGTTAATCAGTTTGTGTGTGTTATATTTGAACATAAATTAAATATATATAGGGCTCTTTCAAGTGCTGAATCTGAACTTGTTTTTAATTAGATAATAATCTATTTTTATTAATTATGAGATAAAGTTTTTCACATTGATAGATAAATTGCAGATCTGTATTATTTTTTGACACATCAAAGAAACAATATTAGCAACTATTAATTAAATTTGATTATAATATGGAAATAGATATAACTTCATATCTGATTTTAGAGAAGTATTTTGCTGGTTTTTATACGACCGCAAAAAAATTTTGTGGTCGTATATTGGTATGACGTTGGCGTCGTCGTCGTCGTCGTCGTCGTCGTCGTCCGGCGTCGTCGTCGTCGTCGTCCGGTGTCGTCGTCCGAATACATATTGGTT